CACACACACACACACACTCACACACACACACACACACACACACTCTCTCTCTCTCTCTCACACACACACTCACTCACTCACACACACTCACTCACTCACTCACTCACTCTCTCACAGACACACACACTCACAGACACACACTCATACACTCACACACACACTCACTCTCACGCACACACACGCACACGCACACACACGCACACGCACACGCACACACACACACACTCTTACACACACACTCACACACACACTCTTACACACACTCACACACACACACACTCTTACACACACACTCTTACACACACACTCTTACACACACACTCTTACACACACACTCTTACACACACACTCTTACACACACACTCTTACACACACACTCTTACACACACACTCTTACACACACACTCTTACACACACACTCTTACACACACACTCTTACACACACACTCTTACACACACACTCTTACACACACACTCTTACACACACACTCTTACACACACACTCTTACACACACACTCTTACACACACACTCTTACACACACACTCTTACACACACACTCTTACACACACACTCTTACACACACACTCTTACACACACACTCTTACACACACACTCTTACACACACACTCTTACACACACACTCTTACACACACACTCTTACACACACACTCTTACACACACACTCTTACACACACACTCTTACACACACACTCTTACACACACACTCTTACACACACACTCTTACACACACACTCTTACACACACACTCTTACACACACACTCTTACACACACACTCTTACACACACACTCTTACACACACACTCTTACACACACACTCTTACACACACACTCTTACACACACACTCTTACACACACACTCTTACACACACACTCTTACACACACACTCTTACACACACACTCTTACACACACACTCTTACACACACACTCTTACACACACACTCTTACACACACACTCTTACACACACACTCTTACACACACACTCTTACACACACACTCTTACACACACACTCTTACACACACACTCTTACACACACACTCTTACACACACACTCTTACACACACACTCTTACACACACACTCTTACACACACACTCTTACACACACACTCTTACACACACACTCTTACACACACACTCTTACACACACACTCTTACACACACACTCTTACACACACACTCTTACACACACACTCTTACACACACACTCTTACACACACACTCTTACACACACACTCTTACACACACACTCTTACACACACACTCTTACACACACACTCTTACACACACACTCTTACACACACACTCTTACACACACACTCTTACACACACACTCTTACACACACACTCTTACACACACACTCTTACACACACACTCTTACACACACACTCTTACACACACACTCTTACACACACACTCTTACACACACACTCTTACACACACACTCTTACACACACACTCTTACACACACACTCTTACACACACACTCTTACACACACACTCTTACACACACACTCTTACACACACACTCTTACACACACACTCTTACACACACACTCTTACACACACACTCTTACACACACACTCTTACACACACACTCTTACACACACACTCTTACACACACACTCTTACACACACACTCTTACACACACACTCTTACACACACACTCTTACACACACACTCTTACACACACACTCTTACACACACACTCTTACACACACACTCTTACACACACACTCTTACACACACACTCTTACACACACACTCTTACACACACACTCTTACACACACACTCTTACACACACACTCTTACACACACACTCTTACACACACACTCTTACACACACACTCTTACACACACACTCTTACACACACACTCTTACACACACACTCTTACACACACACTCTTACACACACACTCTTACACACACACTCTTACACACACACTCTTACACACACACTCTTACACACACACTCTTACACACACACTCTTACACACACACTCTTACACACACACTCTTACACACACACTCTTACACACACACTCTTACACACACACTCTTACACACACACTCTTACACACACACTCTTACACACACACTCTTACACACACACTCTTACACACACACTCTTACACACACACTCTTACACACACACTCTTACACACACACTCTTACACACACACTCTTACACACACACTCTTACACACACACTCTTACACACACACTCTTACACACACACTCTTACACACACACTCTTACACACACACTCTTACACACACACTCTTACACACACACTCTTACACACACACTCTTACACACACACTCTTACACACACACTCTTACACACACACTCTTACACACACACTCTTACACACACACTCTTACACACACACTCTTACACACACACTCTTACACACACACTCTTACACACACACTCTTACACACACACTCTTACACACACACTCTTACACACACACTCTTACACACACACTCTTACACACACACTCTTACACACACACTCTTACACACACACTCTTACACACACACTCTTACACACACACTCTTACACACACACTCTTACACACACACTCTTACACACACACTCTTACACACACACTCTTACACACACACTCTTACACACACACTCTTACACACACACTCTTACACACACACTCTTACACACACACTCTTACACACACACTCTTACACACACACTCTTACACACACACTCTTACACACACACTCTTACACACACACTCTTACACACACACTCTTACACACACACTCTTACACACACACTCTTACACACACACTCTTACACACACACTCTTACACACACACTCTTACACACACACTCTTACACACACACTCTTACACACACACTCTTACACACACACTCTTACACACACACTCTTACACACACACTCTTACACACACACTCTTACACACACACTCTTACACACACACTCTTACACACACACTCTTACACACACACTCTTACACACACACTCTTACACACACACTCTTACACACACACTCTTACACACACACTCTTACACACACACACTCTTACACACACACACACTCTTACACACACGCATTCGTACCTCCACCCAGTCAAAGATCCTCTGGTTGTCTGCTTTCTCCTGCAGGAGTCGCTCCATCTCTCTAGAAATGTCTTCTGGACTCAGAGTCCCTTTACTGCTCTTCCTCACACACTCCTCACCCAGAGTGAACTCCACTCCCTGCGCGCGCACACACACACACACACAACACATCATATAAGTAACAATCATCAATCAATCTGCTGCGGTTTTGACTGAATTCATCGCCAACCTCTTCAGTGACAAATTTATTGACGTCCTCGTCTTCGGGGAGGAAGTCTTTCCAGCTCAGCGCCGCGTCTCTCCACATCACTCCCACCGTCTTAAGACTCTGAGACAGGAAAGAGTTCAGAACGGACACTTTCACAACTTCATTCTGACATCGCTCCCTATATAGTGCACTATGTGGTGTGTCAACCATGCTGCTGTGTAGTTTGAATTGCATTCCCCACTCTTTTGTACCCATAATGCACTTTATAGTGTACAACAGGCATTTACTTTAGCATTTGAATTAGCTAACTTAGTGTCACTCACTTTGTAGTGAACGAGCAAGCAATTTGGGACATGGCAAGTAGGATTGTATGATTTGGGAATTCTACAAAGTACTAGTATTTATAGCTGTCTTCATTTCTTCATTACATGTTGTTAAATCACTGAATTTCAATTTAGGTGGAAAACCGCAGAGAAGCTACTCTTTTGACAACAGCCAGATTATAAGCGCATGTTGCATTGCATTTCCAAATGCACAAGTAGGATTGTTTGATCTGGGGGGAAAAAATAATTATTCTAATAAAAATTAAATTTTTTTCACTGATAAAAACAAGTGACTGCAATTTAAAATACAATAATAATAATAAAAAAAAGGTTTGCAGGTTTGTTTGCTGCACAACTTGGAAAAAACTTTTGTGATTATATTTCATTATGACAAAAAAAAAAAAAAAAATTATATATATAAAATATATACATATATATTTCGCTTTGCATCGCTTCACATCGGGTGGTTCTTTGCCTCCGCGTCATGCATTTAAAATCCTTTAATGCACGGCAAGCCGTTGATTATCCCTTACATACATATACAGTATATATATGTATGATAATATTTCACTGTAAAAAAAATAAAAAATAAAATTATTATTAATATTACTATAGTTTTTAATTGTAATTATGACCTAGTATAAATTATTAAACAAAATAAGAAATGTTACTAATGCAAACAAATGTAAATTTTTTTATAAAATGATTTATTTTATTTGACAGTAAAGCTGTAAAATTACAACACTAATATTTATATAAATGACTCAAACTCAGAGCAGATGCAGATTAATTTGCGTGAAGCAGCATTTACTGACACCGGAAACTGAACACAGTGCCGCGCTTCACTCTGAAAGAAGAGCATTTATTTATTTAAATCACAGATTTTGCGATTTGGAAATCACACTGAGCCATATTGTATTTACGGTTATAAAGCGGAGAGTTCTGGTGCTTGACTCTGATTGGCTGAGCTGCGTTCGAAGCTGTTGTAAATGACGCTACAAAGTAACACACACCTTTGTTTACGTCTGTCTGTGTGCTGCTCTGCAACCACTTTGTTGGAACCACAACTGATTCTGAGGAGCTACATTGTTTGGTAGAAGAATACTGTTTTTATTAATATCATTACACTTTATTTGCTCCGTTTTATTTTTCGTGAAACCTTACTACGTATATATAATAACCGTTTTATAAAAGCACCAAGCCCCGTGAAGCCGTCGTGCCTAACAACGCCCCTTAGCTGTTATAAATCCACTGTAAACCAAGGCTACTTGGGGCTTATTGCTTTATTTTATTTCAATGAATCGTGCAGCCTTGGTGTCTAACAGGAATGAATGAATTATATAGTGCACTATGTGGTGTGTCAACCATGCTGCTGTGTAGTTTGAATTGCATTCCCCACTCTTTTGTACCCATAATGCACTTTATAGTGTACAACAGGCATTTACTTTAGCATTTGAATTAGCTAACTTAGTGTCACTCACTTTGTAGTGAACGAGCAAGCAATTTGGGACATGGCAAGTAGGATTGTATGATTTGGGAATTCTACAAAGTACTAGTATTTATAGCTGTCTTCATTTCTTCATTACATGTTGTTAAATCACTGAATTTCAATTTAGGTGGAAAACCGCAGAGAAGCTACTCTTTTGACAACAGCCAGATTATAAGCGCATGTTGCATTGCATTTCCAAATGCACAAGTAGGATTGTTTGATCTGGGGGGAACACTCTGAAAGAAGAGCATTTATTTATTTAAATCACAGATTTTGTGATTTGGAAATCACACTGAGCCATATTGTATTTACGGTTATAAAGCGGAGAGTTCTGGTGCTTGACTCTGATTGGCTGAGCTGCGTTCGAAGCTGTTGTAAATGACGCTACAAAGTAACACACACCTTTGTTTACGTCTGTCTGTGTGCTGCTCTGCAACCACTTTGTTGGAACCACAACTGTTTCTGAGGAGCTACATTGTTTGGTAGAAGAATACTGTTTTTATTAATATCATTACACTTTATTTGCTCCGTTTTATTTTTCGTGAAACCTTACTACGTATATATAATAACCGTTTTATAAAAGCACCAAGCCCCGTGAAGCCGTCGTGCCTAACAACGCCCCTTAGCTGTTATAAATCCACTGTAAACCAAGGCTACTTGGGGCTTATTGCTTTATTTTATTTCAATGAATCGTGCAGCCTTGGTGTCTAACAGGAATGAATGAATTCTCACAAGCGTCTTACCATTGCTTTACAGAGCAGCTTGAGGATCTCCACCAGCAGAACTCCAGCCTTCCCAAGAGGCACCAGCGGTTTAGACACCTCCCTGTGAACCGGTCAGAGGTCAGACGCTAGACTTCTGTGTGATGTGATTGGCAGGTGATGGATGTGAAGGGTTTGCAGGCTCACCTGAAGAGCGGCCCCATGGGAATCCCTCCCTCGTGCAGCATGTGCTCTGCAACCACTTTGTTGGAACCACAACTGTTTCTGAGGAGCTACATTGTTTGGTAGAAGAATACTGTTTTTATTAATATCATTACACTTTATTTGCTCCGTTTTATTTTTCGTGAAACCTTACTACGTATATATAATAACCGTTTTATAAAAGCACCAAGCCCCGTGAAGCCGTCGTGCCTAACAACGCCCCTTAGCTGTTATAAATCCACTGTAAACCAAGGCTACTTGGGGCTTATTGCTTTATTTTATTTCAATGAATCGTGCAGCCTTGGTGTCTAACAGGAATGAATGAATTCTCACAAGCGTCTTACCATTGCTTTACAGAGCAGCTTGAGGATCTCCACCAGCAGAACTCCAGCCTTCCCAAGAGGCACCAGCGGTTTAGACACCTCCCTGTGAACCGGTCAGAGGTCAGACGCTAGACTTCTGTGTGATGTGATTGGCAGGTGATGGATGTGAAGGGTTTGCAGGCTCACCTGAAGAGCGGCCCCATGGGAATCCCTCCCTCGTGCAGCATGGGACTGATGAGCTCAGCCAGATACAGCCAGATGTGAGGGATATCTATCGCCATGTCCTCCGCAACCTCCAGCACCTCCAACAGCCTGCAACAATCACCACCATTAGATTTAATGTGTTCTATTTATATACAGTGGGGAAAAAAAGTATTTAGTCAGCCACCAATTGTGCAAGTTCTCCCACTTAAAAAGATGAGAGAGGCCTGTAATTTTCATCATAGGTATACCTCAACTATGAGAGACAAAATGAGAAAAAAAATCCAGAAAATCACATTGTAGGATTTTTAAAGAATTTATTTGCAAATTATGGTGGAAAATAAGTATTTGGTCAATAACAAAATTTCATCTCAATACTTTGTTATATACCCTTTGTTGGCAATGACAGAGGTCAAATGTTTTCTGTAAGTCTTCACAAGGTTTTCACACACTGTTGCTGGTATTTTGGCCCATTCCTCCATGCAGATCTCCTCTAGAGCAGTAATGTTTTGGGGCTGTCGCTGGGCAACACGGATTTTCAACTCCCTCCAAAGATTTTCTATGGGGTTGAGATCTGGAGAATGGCTAGGCCACTCCAGGACCTTGAAATGCTTCTTACGAAGCCACTCCTTCATTGCCCGGGCGGTGTGTTTGGGATCATTGTCATGCTGAAAGACCCAGCCACGTTTCATCTTCAATGCCCTTGCTGATGGAAGGAGGTTTTCACTCAAAATCTCACGATACATGGCCCCATTCATTCTTTCGTTTACACAGATCAGTCGTCCTGGTCCCTTTGCAGAAAAACAGCCCCAAAGCATGATATTTCCACCCCCATGCTTCACAGTAGGGTCTTGTATGTCTTCCATTTTCTAATAATTGCTCCCACAGTTGATTTCTTCACACCAAGCTGCTTACCTATTGCAGATTCAGTCTTCCCAGCCTGGTGCAGGTCTACAATTTTGTTTCTGGTGTCCTTTGACAGCTCTTTGGTCTTGGCCATGGTGGAGTTTGGAGTGTGACTGTTTGAGGCTGTGGACAGGTGTCTTTTATACTGATAACAAGTTCAAACAGATGCCATTAATACAGGTAACGAGTGGAGGACAGAGGAGCCTCTTAAAGAAGAAGTTACAGGTCTGTGAGAGCCAGAAATCTTGCTTGTTTGTAGGTGACCAAATACTTATTTTACAGAGGAATTTACCAATTAATTCTTTAAAAATCCTACAAGGTGATTTTCTGGATTTTTTTT